AAGGCACACGTACGCACTCACACACACACGATCTGTACGAGCGAAGGCTATTAGGACGAGTACATTCGTACGTATCGTAGTATTAACCGAGAGCCTAGCCCCTCTCATAACGTAATATGAAGATGAAAATAACAATTTACACAAGAATTGCAATTATAGCTGAGATTATATGTTATATAATGAGTAAAATCGGTGTTTTTGCATGGAATAGTACATCAAAAAAACTTACTTATTTACGATCATAAACAAACAACACATTTACAAATGGCCTTTTGGTCTTATAGTTTGAAGGGTTTGTTGAGTCCCTAAGGAAAAGCTGACGTACTCGCGTCCCACAATATCCCGTAGCCATCTCGGCCACCGCGAATTTGTTCTCGCAATGAATTTGGAATGAAAATGAATTTGAAATAAAAAAAGGAATTTGAATATGAAGTGAATTTGGACATGAAAATGTATTTGGAAGGAATGAAAATGTATTGGAATGGCGGACATGAAAATGAATTTGGAATTGAAAACTCGTCATTGAATCCCACAATGAATTTGGACCATGCAAATGAATTTGGAACGAAATGAATTTCGAAATGAAAAATAACATTTGAAATGCAAATAATTAGATGAAAAATGAATTTGAATGAAAGAATTAAAAAATGAAAATGAATTTGGAAGAAAAAAAATGAATTAAAAATGAAATAATAAAAATATCCGCTAGCAATCTCTGCCACACTGTAGTGACTCGTCTTATTCACACTCACGCAAACCGCGTTAGCGTAGTTGAACATTTAACGTGAAAGATCAGAATCGCGCCCACATGACGCCTCCATCTTATGCGTCGGGCGCCCGTTTCAAAACACGCGTATTTCCCATACGTCGTGATTCATCGATACAATTTTGAGGAATGGTCCTCCAGAACGGTATCTCCCACCTCCTTTCACCGATGTCTCGGAACTAACCCTATCGGCAATATAGTACAACGTGTGTTTCATATAATACCGGCATCTTGGTCCTGCCGCTACGCTGACACGCGGATAGCGCCACAACAATGTACGGCAGCTGCCACGTGCGATCACCCACTAATGGCGAATATATTAATTACTATGCGGTGCTTCATCGTAACCAATCGCTTCACGAGTGTGTCCGTCGCGTGAGCCGGAGGACGGAGCCATTACCGATCGTCGTACTAACAATGATTACGAATAGCAGCCAAACCCGCGCACACGCACACACGCACGCAAGATCAGCGCACGCAAGATCCGCACGCACAGCACGCCACGCAAGATCACCGCACGCACACACGCACGCAAGATCACGCACGCACACACGCACGTAAGATCACGAGCCACACGCACGCAGATCACGCACGCACACCAATGCTTACATTATCATGCATGTATTACTATGCATGTATGCCACATGCACACGCACACGCACACGCACACACACGCCACAGCAAATTACCTATATATATAATATCTCGAATATATATATATCATATATATCGGCATATATTTATTTATTTATTATTTAGCGCCGCGCCACGGCCGGGCTGCGCGCCCGTCTGCCGTATACATACCTGCCGAATCATCACGACAGCCTTCGCACACACACACACACACACACAACACACACACACCACACACACACACACACCACACGTCACTATAGGTAAACTAATTACAGGGACTTTTAGGCAGATATGAAGTGGCGGGCGCGACGATCAAGCGTCATAGTAGTCCAGTCAGCGTGTTTCGTCTTCACTCGCCGCTCAGTGCTCCACAACATCCCGTGTGATACTGGCCTTGCTGCGCCCGCGGGAATGAGACTGTATTCGCTGAGGGAGCGGAGAGGCTGGAGAGGGGGGCGGGTTTCTGTGCGTTTGTTGCGCCCGATGGGAAGGCAGGAGCACGTATAGTAATCCTGCCAAAAACCGCTTACCAGGGACAATTATCCGCATAGTCGCTGGTGCAGAGGCAGCGTCGCGTCGGCGCGCGCGGCGGGGCGCGCGGACTGGCGGCGCGCCGCAGCGCGCCGTAGAGGCAGAAAAAGTGAAAGTAATCAGGAAAATAATATATTGAAGGCGCGCGCGGGCCGGGGTGTCTGTTGTGTCGGTGCGGGTGTGCAGTGGTGTGTGTACGTGTGTGTAGGTGGTTGTGGTGCGGCCGTGACAGGGATCAGGACTTTATTTATCTGAATCTCAAAATCATGAACGAGTTGTTACGTAATGCACCGTTTGTCACACATACCGAGCCATAATTACGCGTACAAGACATCCTTTAACGCGATGGTAGGGTATTCGCCCATACAAGGTGCTACAGTCAAACATGCGAAGTTTCTTACACGATAAGAATGGATTTACAAGGTCAAAGAATACAATAACGCTCAAAGATGTGTTGTTTTTTCTACGCCGGGACGAGAAAGTTTTGTCATACTATTATAGCTACCACAGCCAAAGTTTCCATTTTTTGCACGACTGACAATGCATTGGGAAAAAACACACACGTAGACGGTGCTCGGGGCTGCTGTGTGCTTTCACAGGTCCGTGCATGCAGAGCCATCGCGTGTTGGTTTAGCACAGATGAAATACGGTCAACGATGTCTTGATTTCATCACTGTCGAAATACGAATTGGCACAACGCGCCATATGGTTTGAGTCGTTCCCTGTTTTTTTTCACATGATTACAAAACCTATATACACTCACAGATGACAATTGCTACAGGGCCAACATATTGACCCGCTTACGCGATAAGAACTTATTTAGTAGCGCGAATTGGTCTCAGGCAATGGTGATGCCATGAATTCAGCAGTACTCATTACCTGCAAAATGTTCTGAAGCTATCCTTTTATCTTACAGGCAGGAGGGAGGTACTACGTTTTGTATTTTCGTGATTACTCTTTTGAGAATTGAGCTCTTAGCCTAAATGTAAATATGACGAGCTCAACAATCTGTTGTGTATTGCTGCGGAGCGACATGCCCTGATGGTTCGTTTGATTACGGTGCTAGCCCACGGGCGTCTATACCGGCGTCCAAGTAAAATTCATAAAGCGATGATAAAGTAGTAACCGTGAAACATCAGGATAAAAAATAATGTAGCTGCGTATAATTAGTATAATATTTATTTATTTCTTTTATCTATTGGAACGGCTGAAGTGTTCATTACATCCATGCTCACGCTCACAGCGCCTCAGCTCACGGTAACTGCCGTAGCGCTAGTTTCGCTTTTACACCGCGGCCTAGGCAACCCGACTGGTGAACCAATCAGAGTCTAGGTATTCAGTCGACTTCGCCTCTTATTTATTCACTATATCATGTATGATTTTTATATCGATGTATAGGCTAGCAGGTACGTTCCGCGCCGTTACATCCAACTAGTCGTTAGTTCGCATCTCTTATGGCTTTTGGATTTTTCCTGTTTTCTGTATTTTTCTATCTTTATCATTTCTCTATTGTTTTCATTTACGCAATATTACACTTTTTTTTTTTAATTTATTGTTTCATACATCCATACATTTATGCCCGATACAGTTATGCGTCACGCACCACGCGTTCCACACGGGCCTAACCTAACACGCAACCGCACAACGCACGTACGCACTAACAACGCCCACGCACACACAACATATACACGAGCTCAGAGCTATTGAACGGCGGCCGCGAGGTCACAGCTGATGCTCGCCGGTATATATTACCCGAACCAGTCTTCTCCTTCGCACAAGTTGCCTAAGATTAGGTGGCCACAACGGAGCATAAGTATACCATTCGTTTTCCATGGAAGTGCTAGAGAAGAGTGTTTGAACGAACACTTAACGTGTGCAAGTGTTGCGTTTCACGCCAGTGCTTTATGTATATGCTATACTACATACTATCTCTTACTATATATATATATCTATATTACGTGCTGTGTGTGTGGGTGTGTTTGTGTGGTGTGTGTGTGGTGCCCTGTGTGTGGTGTCGTGCTGTGCGTGCCCGAGTTGCGTGCGTGCGTGCGTGCGCTTACCGTGCGTGCGTAGCGTGCGTGTTGTGTGCTGCGTTTGGGTGTGCTGTGCGCGCCGCCACGGGGTATGTATATATACGGCTAATATATATAGCTTTGTATATTATGTATACTATAATATATATATACTACGATATATACTATATAGCGAGAGAGAGAGAGAGAGAGAGAGAGAGAGAGAGAGAGAGAGCGAAAAAGAGAGAGATAAATATATATATTCAGTAGATTCTTGGCTTCGTTTTCAGCATGAAGCTGCTGGTATCGTTCCTGCTGGCGTGCTGCGTCGCCGCCTGCTGCTCCGCCTGGGAATCTGCTGAGCTGATAAAAAGAGGATACGTTATAGTGCCGAGCTCCGCCGGAGCCCTCATCCCCCTCAGAGGCTACAATGGAGAGATCATGTACTACGCCATTAAGATCTCCTACTTTCAGGGTGGCCACGCTGGCGTCGGTCAAGCTGTCGCTAGCGCTGCTCAGGCGGGCCGTACTGCCGCTGCTGCCGTGCACGCGGGCAGCGCGGGATTCCGTGTTAGCAACGCAGCACGCTCCGGTTTCCATGGCGGAGCGTCAGGTACCACTGGCGCCCGCTTCAGGACGATGTCGGTTGGTCAGGTTCCAACTACTAGGTTTCAGCAGGTGAGCTAGTACGACTTCTTAGGCGGTGCTTCTTTTCGCAGCAGGCACTGCGACAGGCCTGTGGTGGACTGAAGGGCGGGTAGGGAACACCGCGGGGCACTTCTCCGTATAGGCAGTGTATAAGGATTAGTAGTTAGGATCGAGATATAATAAATATATATGTATATATATATATATATATATATATATATATATATAATAAATAAATAAATAATATATATATATATATATATATATATAGTATNTATATATATATATATATATATATATATATATATATATATAGAGAGAGAGAGAGAGAGAGAGAGAGAGAGAGCGCGCGCGAAAAAAGAGAGAGATAAATATATATATTCAGTAGATTCTTGTTTTCGTTTTCAGCATGAAGCTGCTGGTATCATTCTTGATGGCGTGCTGCGTCGCCGCCTGCTGCTCCGCCTGGGAATCTGCTGAGCTGATAAAAAGAGGATACGTTATAGTGCCGAGCTCCGCCGGGGCCGTCATCCCCCTAAGAGGCCACAACGGAGAGACTATGTACTACGCCATTAAGATTTCCTACTTTCAGGGTGGCCGCGCTGGCGTCGGTCAAGCTGTCGCTAGCGCTGCTCAGGCGGGCCGTACTGCCGCTGCTGCCGTGCACGCGGGAAGCGCGGGATTCCGTGTTAGCAACGCAGCAAGCGCCGGTTTCCAGGGCGGAGCGTCAGGTACCACTGGCGCCCTCTTCAGGACGATATCGGTTGATCAGGTTCCAACTACTAGGCTTCAGCAGGTAAGCTAGTACGACTTCTTAGGTGGACCTTCTTTTCGCAGCAGGCACTGCGACAGGCCTGTGGTGGAGTGAAGGGCGAGTAGGGAACACCGCGCGGCACTTCTCCGTATAGGCAGTGTGTAAGGATTAGTAGTTAGGATCGAGATATGATAAATATGTATATATATATATGTATATATATATCTTGAAATTCAGTATATCGATAAATAACTACATGATCAGTTATGTAATCATTTAACATTCATCAACTATGCAAAACTTGGCGTGTTTCTAGGTGAGACACAACGGAGAGACCATGTTGTACGTCATTAAGATGTCATAATTTCAGGGTGGCCGCGCTGGCGTTGGTCAAGCTGTCGCTAGCGCTGCTCAGGCGGACCGTACTGCCGCTGCTGCCGTGCACGCGGGCAGCGCGGGATTCCGTGTTAGCAACGCAGCACGCGCCGGTTTCCAGGGCGGAGCGTCAGGTACCACTGGCGCCCTCTTCAGGACGATGTCGGTTGGTCAGGTTCCAACTACTAGGCTTCAGCAGGTGAGCTAGTACGACTTCTTAGGTGGTCCTTCTCTTTGCAGCAGGCACTGCGACAGGCCTGTGGTGGAGTGAAGGGCGAGTAGGGAACACCGCGCGGCACTTCTGCGTATAGGCAGTGTGTAGGGATTAGACGTGGGTATGCCGAATTCGTCCCCGAATCCGCGCGGAATACCCCTGGTCATTGGGCGACGGCCGAACGACTCTTCTCTGTAGGCCACGAATGATCTGCCTACACTAGAAACAGCGCAAGCTTTTGCATATAGTGATAATTAAAATGAATTAACATATACTGAGAGTAATCAGTTATATACGCTTACATGGCTTTCAAGAAATATAATTTATATATATATATTAACATAATAATTTATGCATATCTGCGATCCTAACTAGCTA